TCACCAGCGACTCGTGTCTTAGTGTTTTTGAGATCTGCAGGATTTTCACCAAATAATGAGTCAGCAGTGTTTGTTTTTGAGAAACTGTCCCGTTTTCGATTTTCTTTATTCAATAAACTTTTTTTTCACAATTTAACTAATTGGTTGTTCAGTTTATTAATCATGAAAAGAACTTCTGAGCCTTTGAAAACAGTTTCTCTTCAGTGGCTCTGGAGTCTAATGAATAAATATCCCACCATGCAATGCGATAGCGACAACGTTGGTCTGCAGACAGCTCTGTAGCATCAATGCTTTAATGTAAGTTTAACTCTACATAGCATCACATCAGATTATTTTTAAATATCAAATATCTGCCCCAATTTCTTCCCATTCGATCAAACCACAAACATCCAGAATATCGTAGACATGTTCATTTTATTCCAAAAAAATTTAACTTTCAAAACTGTCAATTTGTCAACATACAATCATAGAACAATATTGAATGTACTCAACACTTCCAACATTAAATAATAAAAAAATAACAGCCATGTTTTATGTACATTTGTTTCTGGAAGCTATGTACAAAAAACTAAAAAAAAGAAATAATCAACTTTTTGCATTTCCAAAAGCTGCCTCCACAGACAGCCCGTTGCATCGCATGTTTAAAGAGGTCGAGCAGAGAAGAAAACACGGTTTGTATCACAGAGGGAGAGATTTAACCGGCAGCATGTCGAACATCTACAGAACTACAGCTAGAAAGCGTATTGATAGTCTACAACGGTTCCCTTGAACGTCAGATAACTGGAGACCAAAATGCATACACACAACCTGCCTAATATTTACTGCATGTAAGCGTACTGCGAAGATCAAAGCTGTACTTTGTTATTATCAGACGGCGTCGTGATGAACAGCTCTCGCTGAACAGAGCAGCCATTCATGCTTTCAACGACGACAGTTTGCAGCCCGATGAGCGGAGAGTCTTCTCCAGTCGAGGGCTGAAGCCATGCTACCGTGTTTTTTATTTATTTAGAAACTGCTAAATAAGAGTCCATGCAACTCACGTTAAAAACAAATGAATAGGAACAGAGCAGGGAACAGAACACTGGGCTTTGACCACCTGTCGAAGTATCCATGCTGCTGTTACCATGAAGCAAACCAGGAACACAGAACAATCATTTGGTTGCTTTTTTTGTAAAATTTCTCGAACTAGAACTGCGATTATTTCAGAAGAAATCATGCCGAGTGCGGCTCAAACCTCCCGATATCACACCAAACATTGATAAAGTCGTATTTGAAGTTGTGTGCGAACAGCGATAAAGGCAATACACAGCACGACAGTCAGGTTTAGATATTGTGTGGCAGGACGACCCAGAACAGAAAGTTAGTCTGCATATTGCTCCTAACGTACAGCACAAGCTCGACTTTCAGGTCAAAAGGTTTGTTTTTTTACCGCCGACATGAATGCGCTCAAGATTAGAGTCCACTTTCTCCCGTCAGCTGCATAAGTGACAGAAAGCTCCACTTTTATGTGATGAGATCCGTTTTGCTGCTACAAAATGTATTTTAAACGTGTTACAGAACATGCACATGACCGTTCATAGAGTACAAACTGATGTGGCGTCTTCAAACAGCTGCTAATGCGGAGGACTGTAATCTTGTTGCATTTTAATCTCCCTTTTTATCAGAACGAGACCAAAAAACATCGAACTATCTGCCATGCTTGTATAATATTCTGCAGATCAGCTGGTCAGCGGTGAGACTTCAGACTGAAAGCAACAGCAGTTATACATAGCGACTTGTCCCCCCCCCCCACACACCAGGCAAGACAAATATAGCATTTTCTAATCCGGGCATGGAGTGGCATCTCTCCGCTGTCACAACAGGGCTTCACTTCCGACAGGTCCGATGAGGAGTGTGTTTTTTGGGCACCTCGATGCGACAGCGGCTTCGGTCGTCCAGCCAGGGCAGCTCGAAGTTCCTGCAGGAGGAAGAAGAAACATTTTAGTAAAACAGACTTAATGTTCAAATCACCAAAACAAGTCTTACACACATGCTTTTACCAAATAATCTCAGCTGCTTTCATCCACTGACTTCCTCCCCATCTCTCATTTTTCACATTTTTTGAAATTGCAACTGAAACATCCTGCAGTACAGAATCACCAGAGCAATAGATGATCAATAACTTTATGGATCATGCCACGATGAGCTAACCTCACAGTAAAGACGGACTTACTGTTGTGAGAGTTTGGGCAGCGGCCGGCCAAACGCAACCACAGGCAGGAAGGGAGTGATCACGATCGTTTCAACTGGCAGAAACAAAAGAATAAAGTTTAAAAAAAAACATCCCACTGATGTTGCTAAATTGTGTATTAAGTTATGCAGATGTACCATCTTCCGTGTCGGGATAGAAGGACGAGAGCTCTGGCTCCGTCTCCGGGACGACCTTCTTCCGGTTCATGCGCTGCTGCAGACGCTGAAACATGCGCTGCTCTCTGATTCGCTGGATGTCCCACCTGAGGACACAGACCGTCGATGAAAACGGCAGCAAGAGGAAAGAACGAGAGAGAAATCTTGACTTATAGCTGGAGAGAACTCCTAATTATTTGTAGCTTAAAGACTTCACAAAGAACTGAATCTCAAGCCTCCAGTGTTTACATGTTTTGTTGAGAATCAAGTAATACGTTTTCACACATTGTAAGCCTTTAAAGTTCATCCTCAAAGCTGGACCTTGTGTATAAAGTGTAGTAAATATTGAGGAGAAACATACAAACTCCCTGGTAAAGAAGGAAACTAGAGCCAGAAAATTCATTGGTCACCTCTCACTGATACATCAGCACTCGTGTTGCTTTTCTTGTTTTGCGCTGGTGTCAGTGTTACTTCTTACACACTTTTATCCTATTCTCTATATTAAATTAAATTACAAGCTTGTCCTCACCAAAACCAGAGCTTAGTGTTTATCAGTGATGTACACTAAGTTTAGGTTTTATGGGCTGCATTGTTGTTTATATTTAAGCTTCCTGTTTCTCTGTGTTGTTATTTAAATGTTATTTTTGACGTTATGATGTATTTTCCAACCACATTGAGGTTTTAACTGTTACAATATTTTGTAAAATTTCCCGTTTACTCCTCAACTGTTTAATAACCAACTTAAGGGATTGTTAAAAAAAAATCATAAACAAATATTGTCTGATAACATTATAATCGGATTCTTTAATCTCCAGTATTGAGTATGAATCAAGCTCTAGTCAAACCTCAAAAACAAACATATTCATTCAAATCTCAGATAAAAGAACTTAAGTCAGTGTTTGGTACCTTTTCCTCCTCTTCTCATCCAACTCCAGCTTCGAGTGGCGTTTCAAAAACACATTGTCGTCCAGCGGCTGGATGGGAAGTCACACGAGTCATTCATGAGTTAAATGCTTTTGGATTTTAAGTGAGATAACTTGTTTTAACATTTAAGATGCAGCTCACCTCGGGCGGTATAAAGGAGGGGTCCTCGTCCAGAGGCTCGATAGGATTTTCTCTCCACGATGGAACTAAGAGGAAGAGAGGAGGGAAATCAAGTTATTCAGAGACAGCGCATTCGGGACATTTGATGGATAAAATGATTAGAAGATGGGATATAGGTCACGCTTACAAACAATCAGCATATCATGTACTACATGAGGAGTCCACTCACTGGCCACCTCTTCTTCCTTTTTAGGGGAAGTCTCACGCAGAGGCGAAAGAGGAGGTTGGTTCCAGCAACAGAGGTACATCTCTGTAGTAGACATGAAGGGCAGGTCTTCAATCTGACCGCTCAGCTTGGGCTCCTCTTTGCACGGGAGCATGAGGTCCCGTTCTGACCCCGACCGTATGGGAACGCTCTTCTCTGGGGTTTCCTTACTGCGCAGCTCTCTCTGATTGGGAGAGCACGGCTGAATTTCAGACTTCTGGGGGCTGAGCTTGGCGCTTTTGCCTCGTGATTTCTGGACTTTTGCATCTCCAAAGCAAGATTTCCTGCGTGTGCAAAGAGAAGAATTAGAGTCATGAACTCTTCCGCTTTTGAATATTGCACAGAGAAAATGTTAAACTGTGGCAGGATGGAGATTCTCCTTTCCTGCATGCATTTAATTAATGTGGTTTGATTTAATACCACAAGTCAAATGAGAAACGCTCAGTGCTGTCTGCTATTTCCTTTACCTCTTTTGACCTTTACCACCCCGACTAAACTGGAGCGGAGTGGTCGTGTTGGGCTGCGAACCCTCCTCAACATCCATATCCCACATGTCCTCTTTGTCGGGGGTCCATGGCTCCAGGGGCTGGAAAAGGCGCTTGTCGCGTGGCGGGTCCTTCTTAGTCAGCTGCAGGCGACGCTCCATGCGCTCAATACGCGCAAGAAGCTGCAAGAGAAGAAGACAGAGACAAAATAAACGTAACTTTAAATATATAAAGCCACACATTATGACACATTAATAGCAGATACTAAAATATTTTACATACCGTCTCCTTGTCTGCTTTGAGCTCATCTATCTCCTTGTCCTTGGACTGCAGCTGCTGTTGCTGTTGTTCAATGAGGTCCAGTTGGAGGAGGAGAATCTGCCGGAGGCAGTTGGCCTGTGTGTGGGGATTGGCGGGGGTCTTCCTGATGTTCCTCCACTTGCCTTCAGAGGAGAGCTCAATGGATGCGGTGCCGAGGACTCCGGGGAGGACAACCCCCTTCACGCTGTCATCTGCACCTGCATCCTTGGGGTTGTTGTTCAGAGCCATCTGAGGGTTATCCATATTGTCAGCAGAGAGGGGTTTGCCTTTCACTGGGGTTCCCTCACCCCCCATTTGTCTCACCAGGGACAATATCCCCACACTGTTACTGTCTCCTTGAACTACTTCTGCAACCGTGGGCGCGAGGGACACTTTGCTTGTCATGTAATTCTGCTCTAAGTCTCTGGATCTGCTCGGGATCTCGCCCCCGTGTGCGTTTTGAACATCTATGACGAAGTCGCAGGACTCCCTCTTGATGCTCACTGGTCTCGCTTGGTCGAAGTCGGTGGTGTCTGCGTCCTGTTTGAATCCCGTATGTGGAAACAGTGTGGACCTCAGAGTCATGGCGACCACGACGGCTGTCTCATCCTGCAGCGCCTCGGCGGTGCATCTCAACCACAGCTACCTCCCATGAGAACTTGACAGCTGCTCGTCCTATAAAACAAAAAGTCGATTTGTCGTGTTATTGTCTGTTCAAATGGAGGCAAGCGGTCTCTGAGCTGGTAGTAAAATATATGCACCAACTACTCATACTTGAGACAAACCGTAGAGAACCAAAGCAGCGACACAGTGCCTGATCCTGGGCATCCTTTTCCTAAAAATCGAAATAGAAGCTAAGCTACATTAGCAGTGTAATAGAAGTACTCGGAAGCTAATTCAGACACAAACTAGATTTAAAACTCAGTGTGGTGCGTCATGGGTGGACATTTCAGTGAGAGTGCTTCAAACAAGAGGACTCGGGAGTGGCTGTGTACGACACTGCCTCCATTTGCCTCCATTTTGGTTCTCGCGAAATCATGAAAAACAATAACAAGCTAGCTAGCTAGCTAGCTAGGCTAACGTTTAGCCGGCTAGTTTTAACCAACAGAAACGCACTTCCGGGAGCCACGCAGTTATAACGACAAAGTGTAATACAACACTAACAATCGGACATACGTGTTTTGTACTAAAAATGTATTTATATATGTATTTATTACCTCGACTGTTATTGAAGTCCACCTGCAACTGTCTTCATGTTCCCTCCTCAAGACTTGTTTTAAAGCGCCGACTTCTGCGCATGCGTAATTTGTTGGATGGCCATTTCTTGTGTTTTGAACGTTTTTGACGTTGAGGAGCAGCCAGCAGGGGGCGACAAAGTACACGCAGTACACATTATACTACGATTATGTAATGATGATACTACTGTTATGATGTAATGAACTGTGGGAGAATAAAGTAAGTGCAGTTACTCAAGTGCTGAAGGACACATTTTTACTTTTGTACTTTAGTATTAAGATTTTATGCGACTCTGTACTTCTAATCCACTACATCTAAGAGACAAATATTGCACTTTTAAGATAAGAGAGACTTTATTGTCTGCTATCTTTATACAGTGCAGTACAGTATAAATTTAAACAAAGTTGTGTTACCCTGATCCCATTGCAAAACAACAACAAAAAAGAAGAAATGAAAATGAGATGCAAACAACCAAGTTACAAAAGCAGAACAAGACAAGGTACAAACATATAGTGCAATAACAAACGTGCAGCACAATATTAAACATAAATACAAATAGTTTAAATATAAATACAGGTAGTGTAGATAAATGTAAATTAATGTAAAGTGATGCACTAAACAACAGTAGGATCAGTTAAATGTTCCCTGGTGATATTTATGTTGTCAGGTGTAAGTAGTCCAAGTAAACTGAGGAAAGGTGTTGAACATCTCAGAGGTGAGGTAGTTCAATATTGATTGTTTTACTGTATTAATAATTGTATGGTTTGTGTTGTTTTTCTATTGATCAAAACATAGCAGTCACCAATAGGAATACATGCTTAGAATTTAAGAAAAGTATTTATTTTTCTATTATTATATTTTCGAAAAACCCTTTTGTCATATTGATAATACAACTGTGGTTTTGAAGCAGTATTGGAATAAGTATTTATTGATTGATTCTATCAATAAATACTGTGTATCTTTGCTGGCAGAAAAAAAGTATAAAAAAAGAAATAATAATAATAATCATTTTTCTTTCTTCTTTTTTTTCCGGCAGCAAAAATTCTTTTTAATATATATATTTTTTTCGGGGGGTGGATTTTTTTATTTTATTTTTTTTAATTACCTTATTTTATTTTATTTTATTTTATTTTATTTTATTTCATTTTATTTTATTTTATTTTATTTTATTTTATTTTATTTTATTTTATTTTATTTTATTTTATTTTAAATTCACACTCTATACCAGTTGGTGGCGGTAATGCTCCAATTCATTGTTTGCCAACCGCCAATAAACCTCAAAAAAGAAGAAGAAGAAAGAAGGAGTTCCCATACTGGCCTGCTATATTCGCCAGGACACCAGGGGGCGCTATACAATAAACAGTTGAGCTCACCTATGAGGAAGTAGTTCACTTCCGTTCACTCAAAATGGAAACAGTTTTTCTAAAGAAGCTTTAGCTATATATCACATTGATCAACCGACGTTTCCCGAAAAACTAAGCTACCTTTAAACGTTGAATATTATTTACTGACATTATTCTGCGATAAAGACACTCGTAGTTTAGACATCAGCAGAATGCATCGGAGAGGAGTCGGTGCGGGAGCTATTGCCAAAAAGAAGCTCGCTGAGGTAACGTTACAGTTACTACATGACCACAATAACAGCTCTATAGTTATGTTTTATATCTTTATCACTGAATGCGATCACTCACATTAATACTTAGATTAAAGAGCCATTTTCATGGTATTCAGGCTCATTTTGAATGTCTTATTATTTGATATTTACTTATTTATTGTTTCGTTTGATCTCATATGGTTTTGTTGAATTATCTTGTTATTTTGTATTATTAAAAAACCGACCTAGTACATGTAAAAGAGTTATTCATAATAACACATACACTCTCATCTAACCTGTGATTGTTTTCTTCTTCTTCTTCTTCTATATTTAGGCCAGATATAAGGAAAGAGGAAATGTTCTTGCAGAGGACCAAATTGTCCAAGTAAGTTTATTTGTCAACATAATTTTTTTTAGAATAAAAATACTTTTATCCTCAAGTAAATATAAAATATATTTCCAGTTGAGGAAAGTAAATAAGTACATTTACTCAAGTCCTATACTTTAGTACAATTTGAGGTACTTTCCTTGAGTATTTCCATTCTATGCTACTTTATACTGCTACTCCACTATAATATAGACTTTAACTTCAGTTATTTTGCAGATTGAGATTAATACAAAATATAAATTAACCCATTAATTATGTGTTATTATAGATTAAAACCCTCAGCAGCATATTAAGTAATTAAAATAAGCTCTACCTTTACCAGCTGCAATATTAAATACTGAAATTATTAATGCATTAAACAATATAATTCAGTATTATAATAATCATTCTGAAATGGCCCATTCTGCATTATACTTTAAGTTTATATTGGTGCTGATAGTTTTGCACTTTTTCTTAAGAAAGATTTTGTCTGCAGGACTTTTAATTGTAACAGAGTATTTGTACACTGTGGTAATACTGCTTTTACTTAAGTACAAGTTCTGAATACTTCTTCCACCGCTGGATATTTATCTAAAATGCTAGTACTTATAATATAAAAACAAGACATTTTAGTTGCTTTAGTAAACTATTTTAACCTCTCTCATAACATTTAGTTTTTTATCTGATGATTATAAAACGTATTTGTCTGTCAGGAGAATATCAAATTCATAAATCAAAAACAAATAATCCTGTGTTTTTAAACAGTTACAAATCTATATTTGTGATATGTTTATTTTGTATGCAGACTTTTGTCTCTTGATATTCCCTCTTCTTCATTTATTCACCTGTTTCTGTTTTCCTTCCAGATGTCGAAGCAGTTGGAAACCTTCAAGTCCAACCTGGAGGAGTTTGCCAGCAAACACAAACAAGAAATCCGAAAGAGTTCACAGTTCAGGGTTCAGTTTCAGGAGATGTGTGCCACCATTGGGGTTGACCCGCTTGCCTGTGAGAAACATTTGGAATATAATCTGTGAGATCATTTTGTTTAAGTGTTCTGAAGTTTAAAATAACTTTGTGTTCTCTTCCACAGCTGGCAAAGGATTTTGGTCCGAGATGCTCGGCGTAGGAGACTTCTATTATGAGCTCGGCGTGCAGATCATTGAAGTGTGTCTCGCCCTGAAACACAGAAATGGAGGTTTGTAATTCATCTGGACACTAAATGGTTATGAAGAGGTGACTCTGATCTGAACGCCATCTGTGATGTTCTGCATCTCAACAGCGTAATATACAACGAACCCAGTGCTGAACACCTGCACGATGTAGATACCACGATTAATAATGTTTCTGTCTTTTAAATGTTGACGTGTGTTTTGTCTTTCAGGGCTTATTACTTTGGATGAACTCCACCAGAGAGTCCTGAAGGGAAGAGGTAAATACGCTCAGGATGTGAGCCAGTAAGTTGGATATTTCAAATATCAGAGATCATTAAAAGCGCATATGTCCATAAATTGAATGATTTTATTAAAATCACTAAATCTGTGCGTCCCAGAGATGACTTGATGAGAGCCATAAAGAAGCTGAAGGTGATGGGGAGCGGCTTTGGGATGATTCCTGTCGGAGGTTCTTACTTGGTCCAGTCAGTCCCAGCTGAGCTCAACATGGATCACACCGTAGTTCTGCAGCTGGCCGAGGTGAGAGCAGCTCCTCGGTTAATCATTTTTAAAAAGGACCGATCGAGGCAGCGGTAACAGCAACTCCTGTGTTCTGGGAGATAAAATGACTGTTTTTGTGAATGGAGTCTGGTGTCTTTGAAGGGATCATAGATAACAGCTTCAGGTTCCCGTTAGAAACGTCTGTTTGACAGCGAGGTTAAGTGGTTCAAATATTGTAAATGTAGTGTACACTTTAGCTGATATAGATCTTTTTAGGTGTCTAGAATACGTCCACAGCAGAACATTGCGTTGATCCCGTGCTGCTGCTCCTCTGTCTGCTTCTCCTAAATTTACAGACATATTTAATTAATGGTCTCATGTTTGAATTTAAAAGTCACTTTCTGGTAAAAGTAAAAAAATCCAACATGTCTGAATCAAATGTTGCGTCGTTAACATTAAAACCACAGCTGCACGAGGTGAAATAAAGAGAGAAGTATTAAAGGTGCATCTTGTTTTATAAATATGTCAATTTTAATAATCATCTCTTGTGCTCAAAGATAATAAAGAGATGATATTCTTCAGTCCATATACACGTGTTCCCCCTCTTGTTGTGGAGAATAAGAGTTAAGAGTTCAGTCAGTGAGATGAATCGATCACTAGGTGTCACTATTTCTTAACTCACGGCTGTCCTCCTGCAGCATCACCTCCAGGTGTCAAATATCACATGAGCGCTGCAGCTCTGTTCATAATCTTCCTGTCATGTGAATTAAACAGCTAAAGAGACCAACTGTGTGTTTGAATGTTAAAGAAGACTTTAACAGAAACATGTAACCATCTATTTTACACATTGTTTGTTCATTGGTAGAAAAAGGGCTTCGTCACAGTGAGTGAGATCAAGGAGAGTCTGAAGTGGGAGAAGGAAAGGGCTTGTCACGTCCTGGTAAGTGCTTCGCCAGCTCATTTCAGGTCCCTATGTATGACATGGACTCTTGCTCTAAAACAGAGGATCTGCAGGTCTTAAAAAAATCATTGAATTCAGTTAAAAGTCTTAAATTTCCTTCACAAAAGGCTTCAGTATTTTCTCTTGCCGGCAGTAGGCTTTGATGTTTCTCTTGAAATGTTTTAATATCTGATAGCAGACGTTACAAACCTCTGAAGTAGAATTGTTGTGACACCGGTATCACTGTTAGCTGCTGGAGTTTGAAAGGTCGTCGTCTCATTATGTCACTTTTCAAAACTTTAATTAATCAATCATTTTAAATTGGTTGATCCATCTATCTATTTCCTGCTGCTTATCCAGTTGTGTTAATTTGATTAATTATAGAATTATGGATCATTAAGAGCTGAAAACACGAGTCAGTTAATCAATTAGTCTGTCAGAAAATCTCCTGGCAACTATTTACATATTCGATAAATCCTGTCAGTTGTTTTTCAAGCAATAATCGCACATTTTCTTACTGGATTCAGCTTCTCACACGAGTGATTTTGATGTTTTTTCTGTCATATTTGACAATAAATTGATTGTCGCACAAAAAACGGGCAAATTGAAGACTCACTTTGGGTTCTGAGAAATTGTGAATGTCATTTTCAAAGTTTTTAAACATTTATTACACTAAATAATTAATAGACGAAGATAATCGCTCATTAGTTGCACCCCTTAAATTATTGTTCTATACTTATAGCTGGGAAGTACTGAAAATAAATAACAATAAATCTTGGCCATGTCGTCGCTATCATCACACTTTCTAACTTTTGGATGATATGCACGAGGAAACAGATGTTTAATTGCGCTCTACGTGCTATAAATAGGTTTTTAAAGTCTTAAATGTGAGCTGGTGAACTCTGCAGAAGCACCGTTGACCTCCACGCTTCATGTCTTCAGGATCACCTGCTGAAGGAAGGCTTGGCTTGGCTGGACTCTCAGGCCGCTGAAGAAGCTCAGTACTGGCTGCCCGCTCTCTTCTCCGAGCTCACGTCCCGGGACGTCACACCCGAGGAGGCCAATCAGATGACGCCTTGAGGAAAAAAAACCGGCCACCGGCAGCAATCAGAGACATGTTGGTACACAGACGTGTGCCGGCTGGGCGACGCTCCCTCTGGGTTCATTTTCTGGACTTCGAGGAGGGAAAACAGTCTTCTATGCAACGAGTGCTCTCACTTCATTTAGACGCGGCGCTGCACACGGACTTCAGTGTCAGGTCGCTAGTGTCACGGTTTATGGGCGGTTACGGATCAACAGACAAACATGTAATTGTTTTTTTCATATATAAAGAAATAACTTGACATCTGCTGCATTCTACCACTTGGTTTTTATTACCTCAGTGGACCCGTTTACATACATTCACTTGTTACATTGCTCATCCTCCTATCAACAATTCATTCTGTCACACATCTTAAAATCAACAATCATAGTTACAGATCAGTTTCCCCAGAAGGATGAAGAGTGAAAAGTTATACTGTCGAAGAATCGCGGTTAAAATATGAATTGTTAAATGTGACATGCTTTATTTTTAATTATAACTTTGTAAAGGACCATTCCAGAGTTAAAGCATGTTTTAGCCTTTTTAATACAAATCATAGATATAAATTACTGCTGTTTATTTTCCAGAGCATACCACAAGTTAAAAAGTTTGAAATTTGTTTAATTTAGATGTTACAAAGCCTACTTTTATGTTCGTATATTTGAACACAAGTTCTCTCAGTAATTAAATGTGTCCTGAAGATCAAACCGAAAGCCGACCTCCAATGTGAGGTCAGATTCATAATCATGTTTATTTCTTCTTTAAATAGAAAGTTCCTGATTTTGAACAGAAATTTGCTGATTTTATACCAAACAGAGGGAGGACCGGGCTCTACTCTCGTTCTTATATTTGGTCTCTTGAGCTAAAGAGCTCTTTTATATTATTACTCTGCCAAACCAGATCAAAAGGAGCCATAAACACAGATGCACCAATCACCAATCTTCTGACCAGCTGATTCAGATTCTTACATGAAAATTGAAATTGTCGGTTCATAATAAAACGTTTGACTATTAAACAACTTACATTTCTCTCACTCTAACAAATCTCAAAGTTGTTCCAAATGCTTTGAAGTTCGTTGATGCACGGCTCATTTTAGACTCGCAGGTGTTTTATGTCTTCACTCTCGCTGGAGAACTTCCACGACGACTGTGTGTGTGTGTGTGTGTGTCTGTGTCTCTCTCTCTCTTCCCACAGTACCCGCCGCCCTCAGTGCCGAGTATCCAGCCTGTGATTCCTCCCTCTGGGCCTTTCAGCTCCTTGCAAGGAGCATTTCAGCCAAAGGTGAGAAACATGTTGTACATGTTGATGATCCTGAGCGGCCACAAGGCGCCCTATTGTCTGGGGAAATGTCACATTACGTGCTGTAATTATTGTCTCGCCATAAGGTGACAATTCAGTGATGATATGCAGTGATGATATGCAGTGATGATATGCAGTGTGTTTGATAACAGTTAGGTATTCTCACTGGAGGGTAATTAAGCACTGACCCTCTCACAGCAGGCGTCCCACGAGGCTCCATAATGACTCTACCTTTGCAAACTCTTGTCCTTACTAGTGATTCTAGAATCTGTTCTGGTTCTATAAGCGTCAGTTAAGCTGTGCATACGCTGTACCATTTTATACATGTTTTGTTCTGACTCATACCGTACAAGTAAATTATCAGGAGGTTACGGTTCTTGTGTCGTACTGTGTGTGTGTGTGTGTGAGACAGCTTCTTGTCTCTCAGGGAGCCGGTCCTGATATTTCCGCCCGACTTGGTGTTGTGCCTCACCACCTGCAGCCCGTGTGTGTGTGTGTGTGTGTGTACACGCACGCACGCACACGCAGGCACGCACAATGTAAAAACATGCCGCACAGGTGTGTAAATTTGCCTGGCAAAAATCATACAGCAGACTTATCGATGTAAATTCAGCAGCCAATTTAGACTTTGCTTTTTTTTTTTTTACATTTGAGCTTTTTGGCTTCATTTGTTAAATGAAAATAAGGGTTTTGACTATTGGTACAGAAGTAGCTAAATATTTCAAACGATGGCCAGTTATGCGGTAATTTACTTTTACTAAAATAAATGAGGAAGGCTGGAAACAAAACCCCCAAAACATTATGCTTTGAAGAAAGGTGAACAGTAAAGTAAATTGCAGTAAAAGTGTGTACTAATATCGGTACGGGCCTTTTACACCAGACCAACCCGACTTGTAAGACGTTCATTTATTTACTTGAGGATAATCCGCCCTCACAGCTCGTGGCTGTAGACGTGATCCTCGAACACCGACTGCTCCATGTTGTCACAGATCATCGTGCAGAAGGGACACACCCGGTGACTCCTCTCGTGCTGCTCCAGCTCGTTTCGGGTTATGCAGGGGAAGCACTCCTGGCAGTGTCGACACACCAGCGACTGCTGCGGGCAGAAAATAGAGACGGCACTTCAGGAGCGGTAACGAAATAGGGAGCGGATTATGTTTTAAGTCCTCTACGAAAATAAACGGTAAACAACGGAGTCCCACTCGGGGTGAGAGTTGAGTTCAGCTTCTTTAACCCTTAACTGCTACCTAGTTCATTCAGGTTGTGTTACATTGATTGTTACACTGTGATGGAGAGATGAGTGAGAAATATACAGTGGGTACGGAAAGTATTCAGACCCCTTTAAATTTTTCACTCTGTTTCATTGCAGCCATTTGCTAAAATCAAAAAAGTTCATTTTATTTCTCATTAATGTACACTCAGCACCCCATCTTGACAGAAAAAAACAGAAATGTAGAATTTTTTGCAAATTTATTAAAAAAGAAAAACTGAAATATCACATGGTCATAAGTATTCAGACCCTTTGCTCAGTATTGAGTAGAAGCACCCTTTTGAGCTAGTACAGCCATGAGTCTTCTTGGGAATGATGCAACAAGTTTTTCACACCTGGATTTGGGGATCCTCTGCCATTCTTCCTTGCAGATCCTCTCCAGTTCCGTCAGGTTGGATGGTGAGCGTTGGTGGACAGCCATTTTCAGGTCTCTCCAGAGATGCTCAATTGGGTTTAGGTCAGGGCTTAGGTCAATTGGGTTTAGGTCAGCATGTGAGTTAAATATGAGTGTCACAGCAAAGGGTCTGAATACTTATGACCATGTGATATTTCAGTTTTTCTTTTTTAATAAATTTGCACAAATTTCTACATTTCTGTTTTTTCTGTCAAGATGGGGTGCTGAGTGTACATTAATGAGAAATAAAATGAACTTTTTTGATTTAAGCAAATGGCTGCAATGAAACAAAGAGTGAAAAATTTAAAGGGGTCTGAATACTTTCCGTACCCACTGTAAATATAAGAGCTCGCTGACGACATGCTTTGGATAGGAAAGGTGTGAGCGATGGGTCGGGTGACTCACCTCTTCCTCTGTGCCTGCCCCAATGTCTGCAAGGAAAAGTAAATCAGTGAACACCAGAATAATTAAAACAATGACTCTTTATTCATAGTTTATTTAATGATTTTTTTGTTTTGGAAAAACCTTCATGTATACATGTCTAGTAGAAGTGGGTGATTATAGATACAATCCTCTATAATCTATGTATTTATTATACATCAAAATAAATATTTTCAGTCCCTCACCAATGTTCTCATACGGGTTGTCAGCCTGTTCAGGTGACTCCTGCTGCTGCTGCCATTCGTTGGCTGCTGACGTGTTGGTGTCATGCTGCAGGTGAGGCGAGTCGGCGGGCGGAGGTGCTTGGAGCTCGGCATAAGCTCTGCGCAGCCCCGCGATGTCACTCATGAGCGTCTGACGGAATAAATACCGGTCAAACAAACGAGCGTCTAACATCACAGAGCGACCCTCTTGAAAGGAGACCATGTTTGTGTAAGTGTACCTGGTTCTCTCTGGCCAGCTCTTCTTTCTCGTGTCTCTCCAGCATGATCTTTTGTTCCTTCTCCTCCATCAGGCTGTCTTTGTCTGCGAGCGTTTCACGTGCCTCTGCCATCGCATCTCGTTCCATCTTGAGCTGTAGCTGGAAAAGAACGTAGGAAAACGAGCCTCAGTTTTTAGTATGTGGACACCTGAACAACTACGTTTGATTCTAAAACCACGTGCATTAATCTTTAGCTCCAACGGCCTCCGCTCCTCTGGTTTCAGTCTCTCCTCGAGATGTTTGAAGCTGCTGCAGGGATTTGTTCCCATTCAGACACAAGTGCACCTAAAGATGTTCGTCGCTTTAAGGAGCTGGTTTTGTGCACAGCTCTTACGCAGCTTCCCTCAATGTCTCTACAACTATTATCAATGTAAAGATGTAGTGGAGTAATGTCCACCCAGAGCAGAGAATGAAGGGACTCTTAACATTTGTTTGGGGTTTTACATTTTGTCTTCTCCGTCTCATTCTCTCTCTTTTCTCCTTCTTGTTAAAGTTTGCTTGCTGGCTGTGCATGGGGGGGATTGTTGTGTTGAAACAGGAAGGGGCCTCTCTTCCACAAACTGTTCACACTATTATCTAAAATACACTTTCATTATATCTTAACCAAGGTCTAGGTTTCTGCAGATGCTTTTTGAGTTTACCTCTTGTTTGCCACTTATCCGTTGTGCGTCCTCACATGTTGAGGCCACCTTCTTCAGCTGCTCCCTGACCTGCTGCAGATCCTTTTCCAGAGACTCAGCTCGTCTCTTGGTGTTTTTGGCCTCCTCCCTCTCAGCCGCCAGTTTCCTCTGAGCATCCTGTAGCTGGCCGTCAAGAGTCTGACACTTCACCTGAAGAAGACATCGTCATGTCATCCGTTGTTTTTAAAAGAACTTCAGCATTGTGTAATTGTTTGTTTGTTCTCACCTTTAGTTCGTCATCCGAACAGTTCTGCAGTGTCATCTGCCTCGCCAGCCTCCGACATAACTCCTGGTTCTCTGTCTTCACGTCGTCCACGTCGTGCGCGATACTCTGCGACCTGAGCAGCTCTGCAGAGAGCCTCTCCTTCTTTTTCTCACTGCTCTGTAGGTCGACCTGCCCAAAGGTAAAAGCACACACATTACAATACAGCAACAAATACTGAACCCAACTGATCTTCACAAGACCTTTTTTTGGTTTTGTTCATCTTGAGTGAGTCGTTATCATTTTCCTGTACGTTACAATGTAAAGTACATATATGAGCATGTTGTTGTTGATGATATAGTTAATAATCGGCATCCTTGAGATTACAAACAACTTTACTATAATAAGAAATAAATAACAGGAAGACGTTCTCCTGTTTGTTGACGGGCTATTTTAGGAAATTATTTAGCCTTTCTATATATACATCTGTGAGCTGTTTTGGAAGATATTCATCTTCAGTAGGACCCCGTGTGCTCGGCTATGAGTGTCACAGACAGAGTAAGGAAGTCGGAAAGCCTTTGGTTTTTAAATAGGATTTGTTAACAACAAGAAAACCATAAAATAACAGCAGCTTTATCCTTTAAAACATCAAGTACATTTACCTGAAGCAGCTGGATGCTGTCTCTCATTTTGAACAGTTGCCGTTCTTGTTCTCCGAGTTTGGACTTTAACCTGAAAACACACATAAGAAAAAAAGCTGTCAGGAGCCAGAAAAACGTACGCAACAGGTTCTAGTGTATTGATGAATAGATAGGAACGTTCAGACTTGACTCACATGGTGGTCTCCTCACTCTGAGCATCGACTCTCCTACTCAGCTGCTCGCGTTCCTCCTTCAGCAGCTTGATCTTTATCACAGCTCGGTCGTATTTCTCCTGAGCGTGCGTCTGAAAAATTGCACGAGATTTTGTCAAGAGCCTTTAACAGCTGAAGAGATTAAAAAAATGATCTCACCTCATTTTGTCTTGATGCGCCATCTAAACTCAAGCTTTGATTGTTCTGCTCCTCAGCGCCACGCTGCTGTTTCATCATCTCCTCCTGGTAGTAACACCAAAGATAGTTATCACTCTGAAACTGTGGCACTGATTTCACTCGTAGACTGAAAAAACAAACCTTTAAGCCGTCCGTTTCCTTCACCTTCTGCTGTAAGGTGCTTTTTAAGTTTTCATTCCGTTCCTTGATTTGATCCATTTCTCTGACCAGCTGACTCATTTCTTTCTCTTTCTGTTCATTCTGCCCCTGTAGAAATAAATCACACCGTGTCAAATATCAAAGTTCCTATTTAACTATTTCTCTCTGTTGTGAAATGTGTTCTTTATCTCTATCGACCTTCATGCTGGCGGCTTGTTGCTGTTCCATCTGTAGATCGTTTTTTAAGGTTTTATTTTCCCCCCTTATCCGATCCAGCTCCTTCTGCAGTTCAGCTCTCTCATGTCGGCTCAGTTCAACCTGCTCCTGGTTTCAACAGAACACATTAAATCAATACAAAGCTTTTATTTGCTTTGGCCTTTTGGACGACATCTGTTTATCACATTTAAACAGTTTTATCTTTTACAAAGACCTCCAATCATCAGTCAAGAACCCTACCACAAGTTTAACAATACTAGTTGACTATAAAATATTTCCTCAACAGTCGTTTATTGTCCGATTGTTTACACAGAACAACGCTTTCCCCCCGTTGAGCTGCTCAGATTGGATACCTGTGTGGTGATAACCATGAGGTCTTCATCCATGCTGCTCTCTGGGTTTTGCCCCGCTGGGTTTTTGAAGCAGAAAGGAGTGCTGGCTCCGCGCACTTGACCAGCGCTGTCAACGTAGCAGAACTGGTAGAAGTCGAGCTCGTCCTTCGGCAGGTAGTATTCTGATGGGACGAGAGCAGAGTGGACCGCTTAGAGAGCCGCATGTTGATTTAAGAAGTTAGTGAAACATGCTCATTCTAATGATTAAAAATTCGAAAATTGTTGCTGATGTATTTTCTGTCAATTGGCTAATAAATAACCACTGCTCTTCAAATCAGAAGTATTTCAATAACTCTACTTTTTTGGGGCTAAATTTTAAACTTTTTAAACTAAAATGCTTTTGAAATGTCTTAGTCATTGGAGATAATCAATGAAATAAGTACTTTATTGAGGCACCTGTAAGAGACTAAATATGGTACGTCAGCAGTTCACAATCTGGGGTGGATGTCCCGAGATAGATATGAGAATCACAGGATTAATAAACATTTAAAAGTTATATAAAATGATGTTAATTTTCACTCTTATTTTTGTTTTCTCTTGTGAAATGATGGATACTTTCACTTGTTCAGGCCTCTAAAAATCCTTAAAATGAAGCAATCTGCTAAAAAACGACTCTGCTCACAGTGAAAGTCTACATTGAGGGCATTAACTGTAAAAACGGGTCACAAGTGAACATCACTTTATTTTAAGAAGTCACACGCAAAGATCGTCACAGATCTCTCTCAGAAATCTAGACCAAACCTCACATGACAGTTAAAGGGATAAACAAGCAAAAAATATGTTTCTGTTACACAAAGTTATGTCGACATTTCTGCTTTTTTCATGCGAGTCACTGAACACTCTTAACTCTTTGTGAAAATGAAACTACCCGAGAAGTAAAATGAACAGCTGCGGTTCACACAGAGGCTTTAACCTTTACTGTGAATATGTGAGCTTTGAGCGAGCGTGAAGAAACTAAAAGTGACTCTATAGTTTGCAGAGAAGATCTGACAGGATATGATCAACAACACTGAGCCAGAGGATCTGACATCCGTCATAGCAGATTTAAGCTGCTAATTATGTTTAAACTGTGTTTACACATGACACTCGGTGGGTTCAGGAAGTGTACATTACAAACATGACCAAGCGTTTTCACCCTGCGGTAAAGGTGAAACTATTTCTTACCTGTAAAGACAGCTTGCCTTGTGGCGGACTCTTGCCCGACCACATCCAGACTTGGCTCCACCCACACAAAGGTGTGATAGTCCTTTGTTGTGCTCCACCCCACCTGTTCAAGAAGAGTCGAGACAAAACTCAAGATTCCTTTACCGCAACACACGATACATTCCACCAATGATTGTAAAAAAAATCCTGCATGTCATGAGATTTTTTCTCACTTAGTATCACAAAATAATAACTTGTATCTCAAAGTAATGACAAAATACGTGCTCATTATTCTGAGAAAGTTAATTTTTTTTTTTTTTTTTTTTTTTTTTTTTTAGGTACTAGGTCATTATTTCAAGACATTGTTTCAAGATACTAAGTCCTTGTGTTTTAAATACTAAATAATTATTTTTGAGATATGAAATCATTATCTTGAGACACCAAGTCATTATTCAGAGAAAGTTTCTCATTAAAAACAATACTTACAGGATCCTTTTTTTAATTTTATTGTCAACAATGTGCTTCCATATTATAAAACTACTTTTCATATAGTTTCCTCACCTTAAAGATGCCCACCCAGTCGCGGGAGTGTGGCTGGTAAGCGGTGGTGATGGTGTAGCAGCAGGTGACGGGTGTTGAGGGCGGGTATGAGTACAGGGTGTCCGTGAACACCACCTGGGAGAAGGTGCGTGCTGTGGAGTCAGCTGCGTCTTTGGCGCTCTCCATGCTGAGCTGCAGTAAACATATCAGAATCACAATCAGCTTTATTGGCCATGTGTGCGTAATTTGACTCCGGTTTACACGTTGCTCTCAACGTACATACATAGAATATACAAACAAACAAGAAAAATGTAAAAACAAGGACATTAAAGACAAAGTAGAACAGAGAAACTAAGCATAAACATCTAACAACTATGTACAATATAAATATATATCGAAGAATATATATGAACATAAAGAACAACAATGGATTTGGGGTATTAGTGCAAATAGAGGTGCAGTTTGTCTGATTAATTGTTGAAGAGTTATGATGAAACTACCACGAGTCTGATTGATGACCGCAGGTGATTTCTCAGATGGCTCCGGTGGTGTTATGCGCTGTCTTCTTCCTGTTGTTGTTGTTGTTTGTGCGCACTTATAATATCTCATTAACTCAAAAACACGTTATACGTTTAAATTGAACGACTCCCCACTACCTGGAGATGACATTTAATCGGTTGTATAAACTTTTAAAGAGCAGAAACTTGATTTAAAACATAAAAAAATATAGAAACCGAAAGTAAGCTGTCCAAAGAGACCGCACCCGAGACATTATATAATGTTAACTTTTAATATAAAACACTGTTTTCACCACGAGAAGTCTTAACAAACCTACATTTTATTGGAACTGTGTCGGATAAAGACATAAGACTTACATGTTGGCTGTCACTCGTCACCGCACAGACATCGACCGTTCGCTCATCGGAACCAGCCGCTGTGCTGCATTCAGGTGCTCCTCGGACATTTGTACAATGCGCACTTACGGGCACGTAAAGTAGTCCGCTGCTTTTTAAAATGCAAATATTCAAACAGATCTTCTTTGATTGCCTAAAAGAGATTATACCATTGCATTAAAATCCATTTAATAACGTTTGAAGAAAAGGCTTTAACTATTCACATCAATACGATCCTTACTGTTACATGTATAATATATATAATGGTGTACATTTTAATTCACATCTTTTATTTTACAATCTATATATTTGACCTCTATCACACTTTGTACTACAACTGCAGCACAACAATGTTTTATCTTATATTTGATCAAGAACCCCCCAGGTACTTTTTTATTTTCATCAAATCAGAGACATTGCTATCTTGTTTACAATTGTCCATGAAGGCATCAGAAGTTACGTTCTGGGTCGACCCGTGTGCTGCATTATGGGTAATGTAGGCCAAATATAAAAACATATTCCTTCCTCTCCTCTGCAGTGAAACATAGAAGCACAAGAGGGAGCTAAATTCTTTCCCGCCGTGGAACAAATCCTGTTCATTACATGCGACACAGAATACATGTTACAATAATCCTTACAATAGTTATTATAAGACACACTGAGATATTGGTGAGTTTAGACCTGAATGTTATGTTGGTTACAGACTCCTAACAGATCAGCCATAGGACTTTTTACTTGGAAACAGTAAATACGAACAAATACCAAATCCAAAGTGAGCTACCCTATTTGTTTTCTTTACAGTTATGAGCACAATGCTGACATAATATTTTCAAATGGCATTCAAATCAAGACATCAAAAACTTCCGTAAAGATGAGTTGATAGAAATGACAAAAGCCAAAGTTCCATTCTACGAGGGCTACATTTTTATCATGTATTTGTCATATTTGTTGCACATGTTTTAACCTGATGCCTTTCCAAATCCCCTTTCGTACACCTGCTGGGTTGAATGAAATCAAAACCATGTATGTGCCTGTTAGTGGCTCTTTAGTGAGGCTGAGGTAAGTAGTCCAATATATGATGATTTGTAAAACTGTGCACTCAAAGACTCAGTTGACTTTGTTAGTTTTAAAGTGAGTCGTTCACGTACCCAGAAGAAACAGGATCTCAGATCACGCTCCATTAATGCTGTCACAGTACAGCAGGTGTTTTCTATCACACAAGCTACCTGTCGGGAGAAGGGCGTGGCCTCAAAGGTGCAACATGCTGAAAAAGATCAGACCTTAGAGAGCAGGGGTTACTTTTCTCTCTCTGTGATTCAGTGTGGATTTAAATTCACATTTACTCATTTGATCAATAACAAAAATATATTCGCAATTTTTGTCTTTACTACAACAACACATATTATGTGTTAAATGTAGATACATGCTTAAAATAAATAAAATAATTGGTAAACCTATTGCGTAATGTTAAAAAAAAAGATGCAGTTTTTGGATGTTATCTCCTTTAAACAATACAAAGGTTTAATCTGCCTTGCATATAAATACATATTGTTAACTTAGTAATTGTATGATGCATCTTCAATGTCAAGGATTGATTAATAACACCTTAAAACATGTGTTTTGTTGTTTGATTGAATTATCTTACATGACACATATGATGATACTATGTAGTTGTTTAAGGCACCAGCAACTTACTTTGACGGTAGCACAGGAGGAGTATGGGATCGAACCACCGACCCAAAAGTATAAGAATTACCTGCAAACTGCAAGGTTCACCTGTGGATGCAGCTTGTAGATGTATCTTTTCTCACCGGTGAACCAACAACCAATCAGAGACGATCACTCTCACACCCCCTGGATTGTGATTGGCTAAAGGCGTACCGGGGACGTTCCATCTGGAAATGAGCAGCGTGCGCGCATGTGTCTCGAGTTCATTCATGTTTACATGTGTAGGTTACGTCTCTCCACCGTGCGTCAAGCCAAGAAGACTACAACCACGACACAACAACAACAACACGAGGCTGCTCGGTCGGTGTAACGGCACCGGTAACAAGAGGACACACTGACGGTAACGTTACGTTTCTAGTCGGTTAGTGAGCCGACTAAATCTCTCTGGAGAGAGGTCGGCATTCCGTTACCATAGCACCACCCTATAGTAGAGCAGCGGAAGAGGATCCAGACACTTCAACACGAGCTCTCGTGCAATTACAGAGAGCAGGGCAGTTATAGTTTAACGTGAAGATGTATTTTCATTTTGTTTTATAGAGATATTAAATGCAGATAGAAAGTGCAGGCGCTCTTTCCCACATAAATAGTGTTCATAACATGATCCTAGATGATTGCTTTAATCAGAACAAACAATAACAATAGCACCATGCAAGGTGAGTTTTTTTGATGAGTCAGTAGGTATAAAAAACCATAAAAGCCTAAAGACTCACTGCCAAACTTAAAGATTACAATACTTTCACTTTACTTAGGCTGAGTAAAAGTGAAAGTAGCAATGCCACAATGGAAAATACTCCATCACAAGCAAAAGCTCTGCATCGAAGAACGTAATACTCAAATAAAAGTGCAGAAGTAGAAGTAATCATTAGGCAGAAACATGGCCCCTGTGAGTGTTATATTATTATTATTGTGCATTCATTTGTACATTAGGTTGGTTGGTAGTTTAATGTGCATTGATTTTCATACCACTGATCACAGAATGAATGTTTTTAATGTGGCCCAAGCGGCATATTTGTTCCAGTTGCATGACACACAGCTTGATGTAAAAAGTAAATTGCTGATCTTAGAGCAGAATTTGAACTAATCACCAGTTGGTGGTGCATATTCAATTCACAAAGCTGTTTATCAGAGGAAACAAAAAGACGTGTTGTTTTTCATTTCACTATTTATTCACAAGAGAAAAGAGCGCATGAACTTCTCCTACCTACATTTGATATCTCTAAACACACCATCGTCACATTAAATTATAATTGCTCTGCTCGGTAATTGTATGAGAGCTTGTGTTGCCTGTAACACACACAGTTTAAATACCCTCAAATACAGTCATAACATGTCAATTCAGAGACTGGCATCAGTGCTGGAAGCTGAGCAGACAATGTTTACAGCTTCATAACAAAGATTAAAGGTAGATAAGTGAGTGTGGAAGGGTGTTGGATGTCAACTAATGATTTATTAATGTTGATTGGGTGATTAATCAAGACATAGTTTCAGCACCATGCCATGCTGTGTTATTCTTCCACAATGTTGTCATCCGGTCTTGTTTTAATCAGATTGAGACCCGATTGGCTGTCTGTCTAACACCAGATCCATCGTCCTGTGTGTCTACTTTCTATTCTTCTTCGACCAGCGTTTCCCCTTCTGCCTGTGCTCCATTTTTAATGTCTTCAATGGAAGGATAAGCTTCAACTGAAGGTTCTCCATTTCAACTTGGCTAAAAAGATGGATGTGCAGCCTGTTCAGTTACACCACACACTGCCGCAGCGCTTTTCAGCACAGATTTAAATTTGACAACTCGAGGCGTTGAAAAACACTTCTCCAGTTTCAGTGAACAAATGTCTGGGATTATCCCTCTCCTCTCGCTCCCTGCTGAGGTCTCCTGCTCATTTTCTCTCCATCATGTCAGGGGGGGGATCAGGTGTTTGTCCCCTCCGTCTCTAATTGGTCACCAGATCCACCGCTGGGCCCGATGCTTGATGGTGTAAGTCAATCTGAAGTGAGCCATCCTTGTGATGATACAAATCTACTCTCTCTTTTTTTTTAAGACTCTAAAAGGCAGACGGTGCATGAGGTGGAGATGTGGCTCATTGGTTTGTCTGCTGAGGAGTGTGACAGCGTCTCAAAGGGCTCCTGAAACAAAGATTTGTGTGTAGAGGCAGGCAGACGGACGGGCGGACGGGCGGACGAGGCGGCATCTTCCAACACCTTCGTCCTCACAAATGTAGGCTTTACAGAGCAGGTGAGTAGAGCCATTTCTCAAATGAAGGAGGTGAGGGCGAACCAGGTCTGTGTTGCCAATTCATGAGGTACAATTATAGCTAAAACGTATGCAGGGTTTCCAATATTGTGTTCACCCCAATTCATCAATGAGGGCAGACTAAATATTAGAGTAAATTCAACAAACTGCAGCCTCCAAAATGACCACAAAGTTAAATCACTCACCTGGAAAAACTGGACATTATAACCCTCATGAAGAGAGGATGAGTTGTTGCATCAGACTGCAGTAGTTTCAGCTTTAGGCGTTTCTAATAAACTGGCAAGTTGCATCAGTGAAACCAGAGTGATTGCGATGTGTGCCGAAATAATTGATTTGAATAATCAATTAGTTAAGCAATAGGAGATTAGCTTATGTTGACTGTAATAAACTGCCTTATAATATGCAATGATTTGCTGCTTTTCTGTTTCATATCTTGGCAAATGAAACACTTTTGGGTTTTTGGACGGTTGTCAGACAGAAATAGTTTTAAGACGAGATTTTGGGCTTTGGTAACAATTTGTAATTGCACATTTATATAAATTAACTTGATAGTGAAGATAATTGTTAGTTGCAGCATTGATTATGTGTGTTTACTGTAATAAGTTCTAATCAGACAATTGTTTGATATAGAATGTAAAAGTTTGTCTTTTCTTCCATTTCAATATATTAATTAATCAGATAGTGACAACCTCCCGAGCAGCAAGAGCTCTATGTCTAAAATGGAGATTAAATGAACTAGTTTTAGTGTCGAGTGCTGCAGTTTGTTTTTAAAGTAAATGAGACAATAGTAAGTGCTAGTGTGGCGTGTCAGTGTGTATGTAGTGACACTGACCAGTTAAAGTCCTTCTTACTGAATCCAGTCATTGTTGGATGAGGACAGGTAATACGAAGGTGTTATTCGTGTACTGTTGTTGAGGGAGAGAGAGCCTTGGAGAAATCCTCGTGCGGGGCTGTAACTGTATCCGGGCTGAGGTCAGTGGGGCGTCTCGGCCCAGTGTAAAGCTCACAGTTCGGGGCCAGGATTATCCAGATTGTTGGATCAGAATACGGTTACCCGGCACCGTGACCTCCCACAGTGTACCTGGGATGTCCCTCCTTAATGCCACCGCGATCACGATCATTACCAGGAACTAACTTGACCTCACCTTCAACTCCACAAGACACAAGATACGAGGCAGAGGCCAACAGCTGAGAAGCTGCTGTCACTGAGCTCGGATCAGAGAGACATAGAGAATAGTATCCACTAACAGCACATTAACAATGAACCGTATTTAGTTTGCATCTTGTGTGGTTTGAGTAAACACTACGCACTAAAAGCCGTCTTAGAATTAGTTTCTAGTTTGGATTTGGAACTCTGTTTTAGTCTTGTTCATCTGATTGATGAAGGTAAAAAAAAAAAAACGATGGACATTAATGTTTTCCAGGGAAGTTCAGAAAAAAGGGGACAATTTCAGTACAAAGACATTGTACATGTATTTAGCTAACCTGACACCGGAAAATATACAACATGAGGAGGACTGTTACCTTGTTGATTAGTGGTGACCTAGAAGGTGATCTCAGGAACACACTTAACATAAGACGGTGGCTGTTAATGAAAAATGGAAGAAGTGGACTGCTTACAAAAACTCATCACAAGGACACTTATATCTAAAACCATCATATAAAGAGTCGTATCAGTATATTGTTGAACTCACTGACTACTCTTAGTGTTCCTTTTGTATTAATATCATAAAAAGCATTTAAATTAAAGTTCTGGTTGGTGTTAGAGTTCATTCCCCCTCTCTATTTGTATCCATCCTGCCACAATAACTCTTGAATGTCGGCGTGTGACAATGTGGCGACAGCCAGAGCACTCACCTGATGAGAGAAATGGAAACGGAAACATGAGTCCATGTGCGCACTTACAGCTTGTTCTTTGTTCTGTTTGACTTGGATTTCATTGTGAGGCTGTTGCAGCACATCCCCATCAAGAAACACACCACGTAAAAGAGGAAATGAGAGTCAAAAATGGAATGGCATCATTTTATTTCTTCTTCTACACTAACACATGAGCTTTTTGCATTTGTTTTTGTTTGTGCTCCTCCAGGATGGGTCTACCTGTGGACAGTCCAGACAGAAATGAAGATGCACATAGCTATGAGCAGCAGGGAGAGGGAGAGGGAGGAGAAAGCCCGACTGAAGCCTGCACTCGCACCTCGCCGCCCATCAACAACAAGAAGAGGAGGAAGAGCAAGAAGAGGTACTTAACTGCTGGATCACCTCCATTTGTACTTCTAGTTATTTCCCGCTGCAGGTACTTTACCTCCGAGCACCCTGACTGCTACGATTTTACAACTCGTTCTGGAGGCTTTTAGGTTTTAGTTTTCTCACTTGTCCTCATCATTTGATGGAGAAAAGATGATGAAGATGAGGCGTTTGTAGGACCTGGCAGCAAAGCAGATGTCTGTCCCTCTTTCTGTCTCTTCTCTTCCAGATGACTGTGGACCAACCTCACCAACTGCAAATATGAAAGTGGTACGTTCTCTAATAATCTGTTTTTAATTACATGCAGATATCTACATTACTCGGCACCACTATTTATAGTTTACCGAACCTTTAGTCATGTAAAATGAATTATTGGAGTTAAAACAGAGACCGCACTACATGGTCAAAAGTATGTGGACGCCCCTCGACTCCACAGGAGATGGATTTCAATCAGGAGAGACTTGATTTTGAGGGACGTTGATATGCACAGCAGGATCAGAAATGTGAATAGTCTCATCGTAACATCATATATTTAAAGGAGGTGATGAAGCCGTGAGTAGAATAGAAAACCGTCCTATGGAGTCTAAACGCTGGTGGTGGTGATGAGATGAAGAGAATGAGGATGATGAGCTCAACCTGGGTGCTAGATATGACTGGGCCAAGATTTTGCCTAAAATGACAGCTGACATCAACAGAGATTGGCTGATGGAGATCGAGGCAAGATCTGGTTGGTTTAACCAAAAGAGTGAATGCCCACAATCAGCTGACTAAGAGGAAGCAGGAGGAGTGAGAGAGATTGAACTGATTGAACTAATGCTGAGCTTCATTTCACGGTTTGAGCCCCCTTAATTTGATTTCAGGGAAATTCTAAAGCTACAGATATCTTTTTGATATTCTAGACAATTGGTGAACTTTGTGGCAGCAGTTTGTGTTTGTCTCTTTCGTTGTTGCAACATGTCAACATGCCCGTGCACAAAAACCAGCTCCATTAAGAAATGGCTTCCCCAGTTTGGTTTAGAAGAACTTGTCTCTTCTGCTCAGTCCTGACCTCAACCATCCAAAACCTTTAAGATGAACTGGGCTGTGAGCCAGTTCATCACCAACATCAATGTTGGCCATCACTGATGCTCTTGTGTCTGAATGGGAACTAATCGCTGCAGCAGGATTAAACATCTGAAGAGGCCGTCAGAGCTGCAGATTAAACGCTCAGAGTTTTCTGGCCATGTACTGTAACCAGTAGCTCCTAGATCAGTGTTCGCAGCAGAAACGTTTTACAAAGACATTCACTTCAATATTATAATAATCCTGTGTGTTCGTCTCAGTGCGCCGCGCTGCTCGCAGGTACGGCCTCAGAGAGGCGATGGAGGGTGACGACTGGACTCTTTTCTGGACCGACTGCTCCGTGTCTCTGGACCGCGTTAAGGACATGAAGCGTTTCCAGGTACTCACAGCAGCACACACATTACTGCCGCCGTCACAGAAGACTAATTAAACTGAATTCAATTGTGTGAATTAAATGAACGCTGTGGGGAGAAGTCAGTCTGCTCTGTGAAATTGTAAAAGAGTTACATGTAATTTAAATTCCCCTCTGCTCAATATGCCCTCCCCATGAAATAATGAAACGTATAGATTTCCATAGAGATTATGAGATGGCGTCATTTTCTCATTGCTCATAACAGCTTTTCAGCTCAAGCAATCAATTTGTAATCTAATTGAGTAATTCAGGGCAGGAAGTACCGAGCAGGTCATGACCAACGATTCCTCTCTGAATGAATGAGGGGGGATCGGTTTATTTCGTCATTTCTCACTTAGACTGCCTACAATCCTGCGCATAAAAATACTTCACAATGAGTAGCCTACTTCCCCTGTAAACACATTTGTGTCTTTGCAGAAAATAAACCACTTCCCAGGGATGAGTGAGATCTGCCGCAAAGATCTACTGGCGAGAAACATGAACCGCATGCTCAAGCTTTTCCCCAGAGACTACAATATCTTCCCCCGGACCTGGTGCCTTCCTGCAGAGTCAGTTTGCACTTTTTTCCTGTAATTTTGCTCTTTTATTTTATTTTAATCTGTGTGTGTGTGTGTGTGTGTTAAGATACCAATTGTGCTTTGCAGTTACAGTGACTTCCAAGCTTACACCAGGGCCAAAAAAAGCAAGACGTACATCTGTAAGCCAGATACCGGCTGCCAAGGCAAAGGCATCGTCATCACCAAGTCCATTAAAGACATTCAGCCTGAGCATATGATCTGCCAGGTTTACGTCTCCAGGGTGAGGGTCTATTGAACACACACACACACACACACTCACATTTTGAAGTTGACGTACATTCTTCATTCCCTCCTCAGCCTTTTATAATCGACGGATACAAGTTTGACTTGCGTATCTACGTGCTGGTGACGTCGTGTGACCCATTCAGCATATTCATGTTCAAGGAGGGACTGGCTCGCTTCTGCACCACCAAGTACAACGAACCGACACACGGCAATGTGGTGAGAAATATCAAAGCATGTTATACTAAGTATTGTGTGTGTGTATCAGAGCCAGATATCTCTTCTTCCTCTGAGCCATAGAGCTCCGTTAAAAACACATTGATGAGCCTCACTGTTGTTCCTTCAACACCAGGAACTCCGTCCTGCTGCCACAAATACTCACTAGAGCACCAAAGGTGGATTAATTAAAAATGCTTAGCTGCACCTTTTTTTTTTATTACTTTCATTATTCAGTTATTTTTTCTCTATAACACATGGTGACTTTTTAAAATGTATTTTGATGTCCAAGCAACAGTTCAAAACCCAGAGAGATACATTTTTACCATATAAGACTAAGAAAATCAGAAAATACTCACATTAGAGAAGCTGAAACCTAGAAGATGTTGACATTTTTGTTTGTAAAAAGTTGCTTTAACAATAATTTTATCATAAAATTGTTGCAGATTCATTTTGGGGTCAATCAATGAATCACTGCAGCTCTAATAACAGACGTTTTATTTCTGTCTTGTGTGTGATATCTCTCCTCCCTCGTCTTTCTCATGTCAGGATGACGTGTGCATGCATCTCACCAACTACTCCATCAACAAGAACAGCGACAACTTTCTCCGTGACGAGGACACCGGCAGCAAACGGTAAACACACAGACAATGCTTCCTGTGTCAGAGAACTAATGCCACTTAAAACACTGCATATTCATTGCATGTTTGTTGCTGTTGCCTTCAGAAAGCTGTCCACGCTGAACAAGCTCCTAGAGTCCATCAGCTGCAACACAGACAAGATGTGGAATGACATCGAGGACATGATCATAAAGACTCTGATCTCCGCTCACCCAATCCTCAAGCACAACTACCACACGTGCTTCCCAAACCACACCACCGGCAGCGCCTGCTTCGAGATCCTGGGCTTCGATGTGCTGCTGGATCACCGGCTCAGACCCTGGGTGCTGGAGGTGAAAGACCACGACAAACATAAACATGCAGATGTGTTGCTGTCAATACCAGGTTCTGTATTAAGTACAATTTAGATGAATTCTTGCACATTATTTTATAAATGTGTCTTAAATCCAGCCTTCCATAGTTGGTAATCTTTGGAAACAGAATCTTGCTGCACTGCATGAGTTTGTATTAAAATGATACTCAAGTAAATCCATGCTCTTATAGACGTCCGAATCGATCACAATGTGTGTGTGTGTGTGTGTGTGTGTCCAGGTGAATCACTCCCCAAGTTTTACCACCGACTCGCAGCTGGACCGCGAGGTGAAGGACGCGCTGCTCTACGACACCCTGGTTCTCATCAACTTGGGCGCCTGCGACCGCCGCAAGATCACCGAGGAGGAGAGACGCAGGGTGAAGGACAGGCTGCAGCAAAACAGCACCAGAGAGGCCAGGTAGAGTTCTGTCACTCACAAATCATGTGTGCTTTTCCCCCCAAGGTCAAACACCTGTTCCCCTCCTGTATAGCAGGTGACTGTTACCATGTGCATGTGTCCAGGTCAGAGGAGCTGCGTCAGTGCCAAGCAGCCACAGTGGAGCAGATGGAGCGGTACGAGGCCAAACACCTGGGAGGCTTCAGGAGGATCTATCCCAGAGAGGACGGGGAGAAATACGACAAGTACTTCAAACACAGCAGCTCGCTCTTCCAGGAGACTGCGGCATCCAAGGCCAGAGAGGAGTGTGCCAGGTACCCGCAGAGAGAGAGCAGAGGCTGTTGGGTGATGCACATAGCTCCTGTCGTCCTCACAGGAACAGTATAAAAGTAAAAACAGAGCAGTGGTGGCACAAACAAAAAATGAGGGGCTGGATCACAAAACCACAATGCTGACATCTGATACTCAAAGCATAATAACTGTCTCCCTGTAGCACTTTCTGCAATTTACCACTCAACTCACAAACTCTGGATGCGTAGCACCAACCCACCAGAGATAACTTCCACTGATTACACATTTCATTCACAAGATTGCAAACTCTGCCTGCCAAGGTCCTGAAAATAAGTCTGGAGAACAGAAGAAGTACCACTATTAAGAGCTCTGCTCCAAACCAAAATTCAAATGTGGCTAAAAAAGTGTAATATAAAAGCAGAATTGGACCATCAGTGATTTAAAATGTGTAAACTCAACGGTGGAGAGCAACACAAACAAACTGAACGATTTAAACCTGTCCGTAAAACATCACTGCAGTATAAATATTGATTGCATGAACTAATGACAAGACATATGAAGACATATGCAGCTAGATGGGAAAATACTTGACATATTTAAATGTACTTTGCTGGAACTTTGCTGCTCTTTCAGTCATTATTTTTTAGGTTTAGCTTGAAAAGGATAAAGGGATTTATTTTACATTTTTACATTTTAATAAGTGTTATTAATATCAGAGAAAGATGCTAAAGTTTCTGTGTGTGTGTTTTTTATGTGTTTAGGCATCAACTGCAGGAGCTGCGTCTGAAGCAGGAGCAGAGGGAGAGAAACAAGGGGGCAGGACGGAAGAGAGACCTGCAGGGGGAGACGGCGGGGGAGAGAGTCAAACCTCGAGGAGCTCAAACACAACCCCCCAACTCCAACTGTGACAGTGACCCGCTGCCGGTGAGCCTGTCCTCCCGTCATTACAGACGCAGTGTCCACATGACACCACCAGAGGGAGTCAAACTGCTTCTGTCTCATGATGAATGCTTCATATTCTGGCTGACCCCCTTCGAGTAGATGGACTCTTACCTAATTTAAATTAGCTGGAATAATATTCCTGCAGATAATTTCTATTGGACGTCTCTCATTTCAAATTCAAATATCTTTTTTTATTGTCAAGACGGGCAAAAACAAACAGTGTTATCGAGGTTATTCAATGACAGTAATTGTTAATATATTGTAAATGCATACTGGTGGCTACACACATACAGCGAGGCAATAAAAAAACAAATTGAATGAAATGTGTCTCTGCAGCTCCCTCCGTCCAGTGTGTCGCTGGATCCTGAAGCTGCAGACGTCCGAGAGGAGAAGCAGCAGCAGCAGGAGGAGGAGGAGGAGAAGCAGGAAGAGGAGGAGGAGAAGGAGGAGAAGGAAGAAGAGGAGGAGGAGGAGGAGGAGGAGGAGGAGGAGAAGGCAGACGTAGAGGAGCAGGAGCGGGTCGACACGCTCCTCCAGAGGGAGAAACTACTGCAGGACCTCGGGGTGGTGGACCAGATCCACCAGCTGCTGCAGGGCCGGACAGACGGATTGGGGGTCCTGCAAGAGGCCTGCACCCAGCAGCAGAGTAGACCGGCTCATCAGAGACGACAGACCCGACTACAGGTACTGTGTTCTCCTTCAAATACACAGCCAACGTGAACACAACTACAGCTCGCACAGTCTTGGAAGAGTGGACTCATATTTCACTTGTTTGTTGTCATTTAAATGATGATTTTGATTTCTTCCGCCTCCAGTCATCTGTTTTTCTTTTCATTTCAGTTGGACTCTTTGACTCAGTTCTCCCAAAGAAGAAAGCAGCAGCCCTGCTCTCACTCACTGCAGGTAGAGACACCGGACCACACAGATCAATATCGTACCATACTCTGTTTCCAAATCTGGTTTATTAAAAGAAATCAAGAATGAAAGGTTTACTGGCCTTTTTATAATCAATACAGATTCATATTTATTTCAAAAAACATCCAGAAGAGAAATATAAAGTAGTCGTTTTACAGTTTCACATTTGTAACAAGGGCTGCTACTAATGATTACTTTCATTACCAATCAATCTAATGATTATTTTTCTTGATTAATCTTTTGACCTAAAAAATGCTATTATACATCTTGTTTTTTCTGACCAACAGTCCAAAAAGGCAAAAATCATTCAATTTACTGTCACATAAGACTAATAAAACCAGCAAATTCTCACATTTGAGGTGCTGAAATCAGAGAATATTTTGGCATTCGTGCTTGAAAAATGAATGAAGCGATTATTCGATTAATTGTCTGTCAATCGATTAATCGACTAATCGTTGCAGCTCTTGTTGTAAAACCTAATATTTAAGTTTTGGAGGATTAATAGAAGTGTTTTCAAAGGAAACCAGGTTTTAAATGTGTAGAAATTATGTAAATCCACATGCATAGTTAATTTTAAATGTTAATGCTAATTTTAAAATGCACAGTCACTGTGGCAGCTCTATGAACGGATAAATAACAGTCAAATCATAATATTATGAATGAAAACATATGAACAGCTGGAGATTTTGCCTCATTATTTGTGTCTGGTGGTGAACATCACTGATAACTTTTAGCACTAATGAGACGTCACCATGAAGCAGAATTAAAATATCTCGGCTGTGTTGCAGCACATCAGCTCCCACGTGACGCAGCGTCTGCTGAGGCCCACGATGGACCAGAGGACCCTGAACCCGCCTGAGCCCGAGAGCCACAGCAGGACCATCAGTGCCCAGCGGACTCACTGGCCAGGTAAACACGTCTCTGCTCTCTGCATGCTGCGATTTCACCTCAAAGCAGGAGAACTATGTCTCTACATCTCTGGAGTTATTACAGGCTGCTTTGGGCTTTATTTTCTCAACTTCACAATCAACAATTAGCTGTTTAACCTTCTTCTTGTGACTAAAAGTTTCTTAAAAGCTGTGTGTTCTAAAAACAATCAACAAAACAAAACTGGCTTGGGATAATAATGTTCTTTATTATTGTAAAATTCATACAGGTAAAAAAAGTTGTGAATAAATAGAACTTAAAACTTAAAACAATTTGTCTTCTTCTTCTCATGTCCATGACGCAAATATCAACATAATTCAACTTTAATAAATAGTTTGGATTCTTAATTTAGATATAAAATGTTTATTATTATTATTGAACTGAATTTTGTTTGATATTTTAAATTAAATAAACAATCTTCCAGAGAGCCACATCATCAAACAATTAAAAGCAACTTTGTTTATATTTTTGGCATTTTGCATAATTTCGATATGTGACTATTGATGTTTTTATTGATATCTTGTATTTGCACTCTTTGATGCACAAGACTTATCCTCATGATACATAAAGTTCTCATTTACAAACAACAGTAAAACATCCCAAACTTCCCAGCCTGCTTGTTGTCCGTGTGATTCCAGTTAGATTCCAGCTTCACTGTCTCTTGTTTCCTCCTCAGCCGGTGCATCTGTGGCCGTCCAGCAGGACACCAGGAGCAGCTCCTGGTCCCGTCCCAGCATCCCGGTCCTAAACCACGTCCCCCGAGGACACCTGCGCTGCGCCTACATGCCCCACGACCCCTTGGCCCTGCAGGGCCTGCTCGTCATCTCCACTCCGGCCCCTCTGGTCCGGAGGCCTGGCTTGTCTCACATGGTCCGCAACTCGTCCCGCAGAGCCCCCCCCCAGCAGCAGCCCGGTAAAGGCCATGAGGAGCCGGATTAGACCCACAGGAGAACTGGAGGTAGAGAGGCTTTAAGCTGGGAACATAAAAGAAACACACTGTGCCTATTTGATGAATCTCACGTTGGATAGATTTTATATCTGGACTCCTGCAGTTTACTCTGCTTGCCACTTTTATAACCCTCCAGCACTACAGGAAAACACCGTTATGGCTTTTTAAACTTTTTCTAACCTGCTGTGTGTTTGTGCTCACATTTGTGTAATATTTTGCTCGGGGGATAAATCCTCTCAAACAAACCTCACCTACAGTGCCAAAGAGCAGACAAGTCTGATTTAACACCTTATGGGATGTGTGATGCAAACCCTCTGAAGCAAACCTAATAAACTCACTGATTACTGGGAGTTAATACCAGCTGACATTGGCTCAATGAAACCCAATGGATATTAAAGTATTATTAGTTAAGATTAAAACCCTATATTTAAAGAGAAGCTGGGGAATATTAAAACATAAAGGTCTTCTGCCTCTTTTCTGAAGGGATTGTGAAGTCAAGTATTGAAAATCTTTTTGTTTTTGTTTTTGCACTGATGATGAATACAATATCTTATGTTTCATCATCTTTGTTTTTTATTCAATTTTCCAACAAAAAACATTCCAGGGCTTTTTTTGTGTGATTATTTTAATGCTTGCATATTTAGAATAT